CTCTCTCTCGCTCACTCTCTTTCTGTCAAATAAGTACATAAAATTTAAAAAAAGAAGAAAGCAGTAAGTGGGCATTTTTAGTAGTTCCAAGTCTTGAGTCAAATAAAAGTGAGGTCCAAACAGGGCCTTTATAATGTTTCTGCTGTGCTCAGAGGAAGAAATGGCAATGGGCCACTCCACAAGGAAAATTCTGAATGTTCATTCCAGATATAGGGTTCCCATCGGAATCTCACCAGAATGGACATTTATTGTCCCCGTCCATCTGTTCTGCCCCCCAGGGAAGCTGTATTCTATTTCCATAACTGCACTTCAGGCTCTCCGGCTCCTCCCCCGACCCTGCCACTCATTATGGTAACTGCACCCACCTGACTTCTTTTTTTTTTTTTTTAGATTTTATTTATTTATTTGAGAGAGAGCAAGAGTGAGAGAGATTGCAGAGGGAGAGGGAGAAGCAGGCTTTCCGCGGAGCAGGGAGCCCGATGTGGGGCTCAATCCCAGGACCCTGGGAGCATGACCTGAGCCCAAGGCAGACGCTTAACGGGTTGAGCCCCCCAGGCGCCCCCCCACCTGACTTCTGATGGTCACAGGCAGCCAAGGCTCTCTGTTATGTCGGAGCTCTACTGTCCCCACTGCTACGGTGAGCCTGGCCCCGTAGTGGACACTCCCCCTGGCAGGCCTGACTGTTGAAGAGAGCCAACACCGACTTTCTTAGAGGTGCTAGTGCCCCTCTCACCAGCTCATTTCTCATCTTTGCGACGTGGCGTATCCTGTGGCTTTCTGTTGAGTTTTCCAGGCCTGATTAGTATATCCACTCGAGGACGCTCACCTCTGAATCTTTGTATCCCTACTTCCTCGATTGCCCCAGCAATGCTGGCATTCCAACCTCACTTAGCATGGATCCTCACTTGTTCTGTACTTCTAGGAGCTACCCCAGGAGTGAGTTTGTACCATTTCTTGTGGTCCCTGCCGGGGTGTTAAATCCTATATTCCAGGAGAGTGTTCCCACATTGAGAAACTCACTTTTATCCAATGTTATAGTCTAGCTCCCTCGATCAAGCGCTCGCAGAATCCAGTTCCATGTGACTTTTTCCAGCTTCTGCCAATCCATGCTGGCTAGATTTTGCGGCTTCTTGGGGGCATAGTCACTTTCCTCCCTTATCAGGCCTAGCAAATTCAGGCTGTGCCTTAACCCTCCTTATAGGCCTAGTGGCCAGGAGGGAAAGTGAGTGCACACATTGCCTTGTGGAGCAGAAATTCTGCATCATCTCCAAGCAAGAGGTGAGGAGATTATCAGAAGGGAAGTCAGATCAGTTCTGTAGACAAATCTGGGGATTCAAGATTTTGGTGGCATCAATCTAGATAGCCCCAGACCGAGTGTCAGGGTCCTATGCTTTCCCAGGAAGCATTCTGATTTTGGCATTAGCAAACTTGGATCCATTGGGAGTTTAAGCTTTCTTGGGAGCTCGATAACCACTGCCTTCTATTGGGCTTAGAGCTCCTATTTCCCCCCTATTGCTCAAACAGTTGCTATATCACACCAGATCGTATGTTCCCTTCTACCAGTAGGCCATTCCAGTTCACCCCCTGGTGAAGCTCTTAATAATAATAGGACTGCCACCTTGTGGCAGGGGGCTATCTGTGATGCGGTCCTGACTGCCAACCGGGCAGTGAGTGACCTAGCTCCCAAATTGCATCTACGCACCAATTTCTTGGATAAATCTCCGTTTCAAGTGTCATAATTTGAGTTCCCCAGGAAACGGACTGCAAGATAGATTGTAGCATGCAGGATGCTTACTTACTAATAGGTGTCTTTTGGATTAGCAGCTGTGGAAGGAAGCCGGTTAGGGCAGAAGGGAAGTAGAGGTGCACTGCAGACCCACCAGCAGCCTCAGCCAACCCCACAGAGAGATCTGGAGTTAGAATGACCCTTTGGAATTGTCCCAAGTAGGGCTGAGATGGTCAAGCCTTTCATACCCCTTCTTTGGTCCGACACCGTGGGCTGCCTCAGAAAACTTGGTTACCTCGAGTGAGGCAAGTCTCTGTACCTCGGCAATCCCTGAAGGGGCTGACAGCTCAAGTCGGCTTGCCAACAGTGTTCTCAGCAGCTCAGCCCAGAAAGTCCTTTACCGAAATAGGAGATGGGCCAGCATATCACAGCATCCGCCACAGGTACCAGTTCTTCGCCCTAAAAATTGCCAGTGAAAAGTAAAGAATCGAGCATTTATCTTGTCCTTCCTATAGGAATTATATTTCAGAGTAACCAACCAAACAGCCGTGGTTGAGGGTGAGCTCTCTACAGAAGGATCCAGTTAATACATGACAAGAACTTATGGATTGCGGTTTTGCAACTCTAATAAAATTTTTTTTCAGACAACTGAACATCGATTGATGAGACCATAATATGAAAGGCCGATGGGGAACTTTATAGCAGAATATTCAGGCTGCCTCCACCTGAACCCACTGATCAATCTGAATATCATTAAGTATTGGATCGTATATACTTCCTGATGTGATGAAATAGGAAGTCTTTAGCACTGTCTATGAGCATTCCTGCTTTCAAAAAACCTTTGTGCTAGAATCTAATGAAGGCTTTAGAGCTAACTCATGATTCACTTATTCCTCTAACAAAAGGAGCAAGCTAAATGGCAATATGAAGAAGCAAACAGACAAATGAGAACGTAGGGCATTCAACAGTACGAGGGACTGGGTTTCTTCAGCAACTCAATAGCATGAAGTAAAAGAGGGGAGACTGTTTTAAATTAAAGTAGATTTAAGA